ACGTGGCGACGGCGATAAGCGCGTCATGGAAAAGTACGGGCGGCGCGCATAATGAAAATGAAAATCAAGAGTGAAAAAGGAGAATAGGAGCGGCGGTGGCGGCGGTGGCGGCGGTGGCAGCGGCCTGGAGCCGCGATGATTTCAGCGGCAATGTCGGCTGCACACGTCATTTCGGCAGGGCAACGTGGAGGCAACAGCGCTCCTCGAGACCCACGGCCGTTGATCGATCGGCCCCTAGGAACGACGAGTGCGGGCGTCAAGGTGGGAAAGTCGCGACGGGGTGGAGGGGAGAGGCAATGGGTGGGCGATAATGGGGGAAAATGGGTGGTTGGTGAGGGTGGGGTGGGGGTTTGGAGCAGAGGCTGCGGAGGTCGTCGTTGGCGCGGCGGGGAACCGAGGCCCACCAAAATCCGGCTGGGATTCCACGGGGGCCGCTCGGCCGCCGATAAGCGGCTCCCGATAATGGCCGTCGTCCTTGGCCCGCCACCGTCCCGGAGGAGGAAGCCGGGGGCGCCCACGGATCCCGCCCCCTTATCGCTAGCGGGGGCGACGTGATAAGAAGCGCACGCTGCCGATCTCCGGGACTGATGAGAGCAGTCATCAAGATGAGAACGGGAACGTCGGCTATTTGCAACGATAACGGACAGCGTCACCCGGTTGCGCCATCAAAGTATGAAAATCATCATCGGGAACTCGAAGAGAGTGGCTTATCTCGCTCTCCGTGCGAACGGCCGCTGCTTCGCGGAAATAAAGCCACCACGGCAATCCGATCGAATCGAGATGACGACGCGTCATCTTGGGGCGCTCTTTGTTTTTTTCTTCCTCGTTTTGTATTTCGTCGTCCACCTCGTTTGTTCGTGATTCAGTGGCGGGCCGCACGAGATAAGGACGGAGCGGAGCGGCTGCGTCAATACGAAGACGTTTTTAAAAGCACGAGATGCCTTGCCGCCCCGACGCTTTTGTATCTTTCATTTGCTTCTCATGGGAGCGCGTCGCGAGGAAAACCCGAGAGAGATAGAGAGATAGAGAGTACGAGATATGGTGGAGGCGGGTCGCGGCGGTAGATGAAGCCAATCCGAAGTGGCGCGACGTGAAAGAAAAGCGCTCGTATTTTAAGAGGCTGACCGAGGATTTTCCCCGGAACGATTTTTCGCCGGACCCTGACCCGTCCACGCTCGCCCCTCGATCTGAAAATTTATCGTTAACTTTGAAATCGTGTGGGATTAACGGCGAAGCGCGCGCCCGCTCCACCATCAAAATATAAAGGCCGTTTTTATATGCGCCTGGAGCAGCCAGGGGACGAGCGTTAAAGTCACTCTAGCAATTATTTCCCATGTGTTGCCTGATCAAGAGGAGGAGGAGGATGAGAGAACGAGGATGAGAATGACGAGGAGAATGGTGGAGAGGGAGATGGGAGCGGCGGTGGCGGCGGCGCTTCTGTTATTCCGGAGCTGCTTTATCTAGCGTTGAAGGGGATAGGCCGATATCATTGGGCTCCGGCGATAGAGCTTTAAACGCACGATAACTCATGAGTCCATGTTCGCGCGGCCTACCCCCCCCCCCCCCCCCT